GCCCACAGGATACTGAACACTATAGAAAAATGCTGTACTACACGATATTATCTCGTCATATCTGTGTTCTTCAGAGCGTGGACAAAGGCTGACATACGCATTTGCCCCTCGCGGTCCCCTTATTTTGTTGCCGCCCTTCTGGACAGGCATGCACAATGCGTTGGGGCAAGGACAGGGCCTCATTCGTCACACGAGCATTCAGCTCAGTCATGTCAGTCACGGCTCATACAGCAGCAAGCGCTGGGATCTCCAGGCACAGCAACGTCCAATCGACACCGTAGGTGTCGAGGTCCTGCTGGGCGCCGTCTATGTACCTGTCGTTTCCGGCCTGGTCCAGTTGGCGAAAATCCTCGCGTGGCAGCTGAAGTTTGAAGCGCTGCACTGTGTCCTGACAAGGGGCCCATCCGGCCTCCACTGCAAGTATCCGTTCCTGCTAAGACACCCCGAGTAAGCTCTGCGACTGCTGCTTCGTGCTCCTTGACCGCATCCAGGTTTCGCTTTCGAGCCAAGACACCGTCGCGAGTCAGGTACAGGTACTCTTCGTACTGCGCCGTCACCAGCTTGATTCGCCCAGTACCTGGTAAGTGCGCTCTGCTGCCGTCCAACACGGGGCGTAGTTGCCAGCAACACAAAGGCGACCGTCCTGCAGCCGGGCCGTACCGCACTTGTTGGCCTAGACATAAAACATGCCCCGGTCGATGGACTCCTGCAGCTTCACTTCTTTTTGCAGAGGCCCTCGCCCAAGTAATCGTGCGAGCTCACGTTGGGCCGGCCTTCAAAGATGAAGCAGCTGGCTGGGACGTCCACAGTCGTGTTTAATTGCAGCATCAGATGCAAGTGGTGGGTTCCGGCTGCGTTGCCCTCCATCGTCGCCGTCCAGTTTTTCACGGCCCACGCCGCTATGTGTTCAGTGACGAAGCTGCGGAACGTTTCCCAGGCTGTCGTGCCAGCACCAGCAGGCCAGCGCTAGTAAGTCAACAGGGCGGCGGTGGCAAAAAACACGACACATGCGACGACTCTCCGTGAGGGCGCTGGCGTGCAGAGGAGCAGCAGCAGCTGGCCTCCTCATCGGCCTGCCTGCACGCTGCCATGTGCGACGAGCGTTCTGCCATGCATCGCGAGCTGTGTTCAGCCGTTGTGCATCCTCGCCGGAACCACCTTTGTCTGGATGGACGGAGCGCGAGACTTTGCGGTAGGCCGCTTGCACCGTCTCGTCCGCAGAGTCTTGTGTGACGTCCACATGCAGACCGTACGCCGTTGCCAGGGTCAGCGGGACGGACAGGGAAATAAAAGGTTAAACTTTCAGATTACTATGAAGTTATAAGAACCCAACAAGTTTAAAAGGTCGGGTATTGAGGAACTAACCCTAAACCCTAAACCCTAAACCCTAAACCCTCAGCCCTTTTTAAGAACTAAGGGCATGAAGACATGCAAGGCTCCAGTGCCCTGCTATCGCAGCAGCAGGGCTGTTTCCCTTGACGGATAGCTCGGTTTAGGGTTTAGGGTTTAGGGTTTAGGGGTTTAGGGTTTAGGGGTTTAGGGGTTTAGGGTTTTAGGGTTTAGGGTTTAGGGTGTATGTAGGGGTTCGGGGTTTAGGTGTTTAGGGTTTGGGGTTTAGGGGTTTAAAGGTTAGGGCTTAGGGTTAGGATTTGGCGGTTTAGGGGTTTAGGGGTTTAGGGTTTGGGGTTTAGGGGTTTAGGGCTTTAGGGTTTCAGGGTTTAGTGTT